GCTGCCTGATTTGGGAATGCTACCAGGAAATGCTCTTCAAAAATGCCCATCTGGAGGAACAAACTCTACTGGCTTTTCCTGAGAGTTTGGTAAGGAACTCCCCTAGCCACATCAATTGTCCCATTCTCACCTTTTTGGAAAAAAAAATTAGGAAGCCTTGTTTGTATATCTAAGGCTGCTAATATGATTACGGTTAGGAAGATATACGGATATAATATTTCACTGTTTCATTAAACGAATATGCAGGCTGAAAAGAAGTAGGCAGCTAAGTTTGAAGATGGAAAATAATATTCAGTTTAATGATTTTTCTAGTTCAGTTGCCACCAATATATTATTGTGCTTTTGCCATGTTCTCTTGTTATTTGTGCAGCTCATAGTGTTTACAGTCTTAATAATATATATATATATTTGGTTTTGAACCTTGTATGTGTTCAAAAATAAGTCCATCTTTTATTGATTAACAGTAGGTACATGTTTATGTCTGTAATATTACAATCTTTTCCACTTACTATCAGTGATCTTTTAAAAAGGCTAGTATTTGTGCCTTATTTAAACAGCATAATAAGTTACCAAATAGATAAAAGTCCAAACTGATATTACCGGTTCAACTGTTCTACTCTGTCCTCATGATGGTGTAAGACTGTCTATTGGCTACATATATAATATTTTTATTACCACATTGGGTCCTATAGTAAGACGTATTGTGCAGATCTAGTACTTTTTATGAGTTTTATACCTGCATGGGGTTTGTTTGTGGAAGTTCTGCAAATGTCTTTCAAAACCGTCAACATTTCATCACCATCTACTAGTGAGAACTGAATTCTGCTCAGTCAAAAAGCTCCTGTTGTCTCCTTCAGAGGCTTCTGTTTTTTGGGGAGGTTTTTTCAGACAAACCAGGATCCCAAAATGGAGATAGCAGGTTGTTTGGTTAAGCTTTGTGATCTTTTACTTAGGAATAAATTTTTGACCTAAGGACCTAGGACTTGAATGTAGGATCTTCCAGATAATTTCTCATAGATATCTGCTTGAAATGAGCACTGTTGCTCATCTGGTTTGGGGAGAAAAATAAGAACAAGAGGAGGAGAAAGAGATTTCTGGATTGTTCCAGTTGAGCTAGTGAAGCCAAGCCTGGGAGTCCACAGGAGCGATGATAACATTGAGCAAATCCAGTGTTCAGGGTCCTGTTTATTATTCTAGCTCAGTTGTAGTGATTCCAACCCAACTGTGTAGGCAACTTTCATGCTGCCTTTGCAGCAAACCCGCTGTGGGCCTGCAGGAACAGACGACACGTTGTCCCCGTTGAAGCCTTCCCACCACCTGTCTCTGCGGAAGGGCAGGTCGGGTGTTCAGGGACCGACGCTGTGGGTACCAGCATGATCCCCAGCCACCCTCTATGCATGCAGAGGGCTTTGCTCTTCCTTTGGGGGTCACGGAACTCCTAAGAATAGAGTTGTTCTGAAGGAAAACTGTAGTTGTAGAAGTTCTCAGCTGACTTTGTGACCCAAACCTTCCTTGTTGTTTAGCATTTCAGTGATGCTGCTGCTGCTTGGCTAAGGGTGGGGTCCTCAGAAATTCTCAGCACCAGCTGAAGTCCCCTCTCAGGCATTTTAACGCAGACTTCAGTGGGAGTTTTAGACATGCTGGGTGCTTTTGAAAATCCCACCTAACATATTAAGAGAAATATTTTAGATCTCACAAATCTGCTTGAGATGTCTTCAAGTTTTGGAGTGAACTTGTTATGACTTTGTGTCCTTGAAAACTACATAAATTCTAGGCAAAAGTTACACCAGTTTTTAAACAGCTTCTATTTTTGCACTTGCAATCAATCATACTTGGTTCTGCAGAACAATCTTTCATTGAGGCAGCTGTCAAATGGAGTTGCTGTGAGCATCTAAAATCTTTTCTCTATACATGTAATCAATTGAAAAAAAAACTGTGCAATAAGCAAAGTGCCAGCACCAGGCCCTTTTGCAAATGCACCCTCTGTGTAATACTGCCTGTAGTACCCTGTCCAGCAGAAAGGAGCCCCAAAGAGGTTTTCTAGGGATGCCAAGTGCAGTCTTTATTTCTGAGGGAGATGGCATGTTGTGTTTCGGTGCCAGAGGCTGCCCTGGCTGCTGAAACACCAGCTAGCATTCTCCTTGCTTCCTGGAGCTGAACAAATACGGATAATAAAAATGATGTCTGAGGCAAGCAGGTTCTTTACTGCGTAGCTCAGAGCAGGCAGAAGGTTCTCAAGGTGTCTGCGTAAATCTTTGGAGGATGAATGTAGAAATGCACCAGCAAAGACAGTCTGGATGGAGGCGTGACTTGTGTTGTCTCTAGCAGCCTCCTCCTTGCTGCTATCAGGTGTTTTTATCTTTGTCAGGTATCGTTTATGGGCTGTAGGTTGATTACACTGTGCCCTTGCCTTCATCCCAAGGGCATAAACCCCAGTAAGTCTGGAATCCATGACTTCAAGGTGGCTGACAACAAGGGAATGAGAAGATAGTGCCTTTTTAGCATCTAAAACCTTCCCTGCTCTGCCTGCTTTCCAACATCACGTGGCAACCAAACAAAAATACTTGATGGGTCTTGCCAGGAAGCTGCTAAACTCCGAGCTCCTGTGGACTCCTCAGGCAACTCGGTCTTGAGGGCCGTCCCATCATGTAGCTGATGGGGC